CAAAGATGGATACACTCCACCAGAAGCAGTCATGCCTGTGAGAAAGCAGACACTTTGGGGAGAAATTAACTGTAATATACATATCTAAGGACTACGTCCTGATCTCAAGAAATACTTCACTAGAATATTTGTTTGAATCTGCTGAAATCTAATTATTTTATTAGAGCTTCCTATCATAGGCTTCATATTTGACCACCAATCACGCCTACCCAGGTTATACATAAAATATTAAGATGAGATAGATTCTTACTGGAGATTCACCTTTAAAATAAATTTTAGTAACCCGTAGTTAGGAAGCAAGGAGAAAGAAGAAATTTTTAGAAATTTATTTATCCCACATATAACATGGGATAAAAATGTCAAGAGACAAGTGGAAAGTCTCAATCTTTAAATAATTTTTTAAAAAGTGAAGTAACTCAACAGGGACTTATTAAAATACTTTAAAAGGTTATTGTAAATGAATGTGAATAATCTGCCTTGAAGAGATAATCTAGATACCTGGCTTCCAACTCTTTCATCAGAATACCTTTTAAAAAATTAGATTTCAAATAAGAATAACGTAGATCTGTAGGAACATAGAGAATGTTGTTAATATTATTAATTATAAGAAGGAAATATCTGAGGCTTTTAAAACACTTTTGTTCAATGTTTGGGGTTTCAAGATGGATAGAGGAAAAATAGCTATTATTTTAAGGTTCCCTGGAAGAAACTAAGAGTCCTTTTAAGTTCTTGCCTCTTGGAGATGCCTAAAGGTAGGCTACTGTTGAAGTAAAAGATGACACTCAAATATAATTAGCTGAATACGGCCGGGTGCAGTGGCTCACACCTGTAATCCCAGTGCTTTGGGAAGTTGAGGCAGGAGAGTTGCCTGAGGCCAGGAGTTGGAGAACAGCCTGGGCAACATATCAAGACCCAATCTCTACAGACCAGCCTGGGCAACATATCGAGACCCCATCTCTGCAAAAAATAAATTAGCTGGGTGTGGTGGTACGCACCTGTAGTCCTAGCTACTTCAGTGGCAGAGGCAGGAGGATTGCTTGAGTTCAGGAATTCAAGGTTGTAGTAAGCTATGATCATGCCACTGCACTTCAACCTGGGCAACAGAGTAAGAACCTGCTTCTTTAAAAACAACAATAGCTGAATAGGAGACAAAGAGGCCTCTACAGTTAAATCCTAATTAGATGACACAGCTGACTTTTTTCTATTTCAAACCATATTTCCCACCCTAGTTTTAACCTCCTTATACCCCCTTTAAAAGACAAAGGTCTGTTTAAAAATAATGAAATTTCATGGATTAAGGCTCCATTATTTTCATTTCAGGGAAAGATTTGGATTCAATTCTGAAATGCCATCCAATCTCTGTAGTTCTTTGGCAACTTCACGTGTTTTGTTACATAGTAACTCTGAGAACAAAACGGTTGAACAATTTGGCCCTAGGACATATTTTAAGAACACCCATGCCTGGTCGTAGCATGTACAGCCAGCATTTAACAATTCACAAGACAAAAATGAATACTGAGTCACTGCCAGCTACAATTCCTAGATCTCAAAATTTTAAGTAATTTATATGAAAGAAAAAGAAAATGTCATTTTTTGGTTTTCAATCATGTTAGCAGTTTACATATTGGGACCTACCACTTTCCAAAAGTCATACTGTCCATATAAAAGTTTGCCACAAAACTTATTACCAAATGTGCTTCTAGTCTACATGTGTTCACATATAAAAGAAAGCTTAACATAGACTGTATAGTATACACAGATGTATAGTGTAGCATAAATGATTTAGTTTCTAATTAGTAAACTTGGATCTCCTTTGGATTATGACATTTTAAAATAAAAATGAATCACCCAGGAAATAATCATTTATGGCTGAACTAGTAATTTAAAGTAATTAATAATTCCTGTTTTTGAATAAATAGTATATTAACAACTAAAAGAGGTTTGGAGTAACTTGGTATAAATAATTGCATTTTCCAGATTTATCAGAAAATTTTGATGTGAATTATTGAAATGTCTACTTCCTCATATAAATACTAGATGTTTTCAATATATTTTGTTTAAATATTCAAATATGTTAACAAAAAAGAACATATAAGCAAATCTAATAAGATTGCTTCCATTATTTTCAAATTACTTTACATATATGATCGGGAAAACTTGTTATCAGTTGGTTATTGCTTTTGGGCAACACTTAGTTGACTTAATGATCACTTAGTTGTCTGTGTGTTCTAGCTAAATTCTCTCCATTGACATGAAAAAGGGGAGAATAATCTACCTGGGGTTTGTCATTGAACTGGATGGGACATCCTTGTCAAGAGCATTGAGCTATATCAGATGATTTTGAATTTTACCTGCTGGGTTCTTCAAAGAAATAGTATACATACCCACACATACACACACACAGAGGGAGAGAGAAAGAGATTATGAAGGATTGGATCAAGTGATTATAGAAGCTAAAAAGTCCCACAGCCTACCATCTCCAAGCTAGGGGCCCAGGAAAGCTGGTGGTATAATTCCAGTCCAAATCCAAAGGCCTGAATCCACGGGAGCCAGCAGTGTAAGTCACAGACCGAATCCAAAGCCCTGAGAACCAGGAGGGCTGATGTCCAAGGGCAAGAGAAAATGGATGTCTGAACTCAAGTAGAGAGAGCAAATTTGCCCTTTCTCGGCTTTTTTATTCTATTCTAGCATCAACAGATTGAATGATGCCTATCTGCATCGATGAGAGTCATCTTCTTTACTTAGTCTATTGGTCCGAATGCTAATCTCTTCCAGAAGCATCCTCACAGACACACCCAGAAATAATGGTTTACCAGCTGTCTGGAGCATCCTTGTGTCTGGTCCAGTTGACACATAAAATTAACCATCATACCTGCTGAACAAACTTTGCACAGAAACACAAAATTATACCTCAATGTCTGCCCTCAAATTAAAGGTCATTGCTATGGTTTTCACCTACAGTTTGCTAAAGGAATATTATGAATTTTAAAACCCTAATTATACCCCTTGCCCATTCTTGAGCAGGCATTTACCAAGGAAATGTGTATCTCCAACAAAAAATGAACTGTTCCTTGAGTTTGCACTTAACCTCTGTCAGTTGTTGTGAGTTTTCCTCTCTACAGCTATGGTCTGTCTCAGAACTAGCTCCTGTCATCGAGGGAGAGGGAGTGCTGGCTGCTGACCTGTGGGAGGCCATCGCTGCTGGTGCTTTGCTAGCCTCAGAGTCCTGGTCCTCTTGCTTGAAGGGTGTCCTGCAGCTCCTGCGGACAGATGCTCTGGGGCCTGACTGCTCTGTTGCTGGACTTTTCTGCCTTCCTCTGCCCTCAGGAGTCTATGTCATCTTCACTTCCTTTACTTGCCAGGCTTCTTCTCCCCTGTGGCTGCCACCTGTTCCCAAGTTTCCACAGTGTTTACCGGCTGCCCGGTGTGTCCAAACTATCTAGTTAAATTTAAGTTTCGTTTCTGAAAAGCCCAAATCTGCAAAGTCACATTAAGAACTGATAGTGAGAATTCTTTCATTTAACTTCTCTTCTACACAAAACAATCCTGCCTTGTTGTCAGAGCTGCTGTCTGCTTAAATGTGTAAATGTCCTTCACCTTTCTTGATTTTTAAGATTTGTTTTCAGGAAAATAGAAATTGCAACTAGAGGGCAAAAATGCACATTTCAGCAATACATAAAGGAACAAATTTATTCCTACATTGGCTATGGATAACACTCTCTTCCCCAATGTCTATAAATAGGGCTTGGTTCATAGTTCTAATTAATTAACTTTATTAACTTGGAGTTGAAAAGAGGTGGCAACTTAAGGAAATAAAAAGCAGTGGACCTCACCAGACTAGTTCCATATAGCTGCTTTTTTAACTGAAGGTAAAAGAGCAGTCACTCACTCATTACACATAATAGAGCAAAGCCGATGCTTACCCAGATTGTACAGCACGGTCTATCTCCAGCTTACCCACAGAATGTGTCAAGAAAAGAAAGGAGGGGAAAGAGGAGAGAGTATAAGAAAAGAAAGCAATTTTTATTTCATTTAGTGCAAGTAGCAAGTTTATTTTCTTTGACATGGAATTAACAGAGCAATGATGCCCAAATGAGGTAAAATTACATTTGCATATGAAAACTTTCCTTGAAACACTTATTTAGATCTTTGTTAAAGTTATTGATTGTCAGATCAGAGAAATTGTAATTCCAGGTTTGTTCACAGAAATCAAAAATTTTGTTACTTGGGAAGTTTCAAAATGTCAATTTTATCCAAGAGTCATAATTACCAGGGGAAAAATACTCTCTCAGCTAATACCAAGAGTTTTGGCAGCACTGTAATAACTGTATATATCCACTTTACACAAAAGCTCATACATTTTTCAAAGAGAGTATGTACATTCTTATTGCATCATTTTTGGAAAAAATGTGCACAATTGCCTTACAGTCTCCTACAGGGTCTTCTTAACAAGAATTCAACAACGATGATAATGGGGTTACCTGTCATTTCCTTATATTATAGCTAGCTCTGATATATTCATTTATATGTTTCTGACATTGTGCTGGTATCATGTAAATCCCAGGTTTTACCCTGAGCCTTATAAACAATATACATGGAATATATATGTAGCAAGAGTTGAGGTTGATAACTTGACATTCATTAATATTAAAAATAGTAAAAATTCCGGTGGCTTAGAAAGATGGTATTTTCTTAAGGACACATTGCTGAACACATGGCCACCTACCTGCTCTCTAAAGCAATATGTATAATTTAACCACCAAATATAGAACAGATGAATACCAGGAGACAAAAAAAGCATTAAGCCCATTATAATCTTGAATAAACCAAACCCTCAAGTATATAGAAAAAGCATTGCAATCATGTATTTAGCTTTACTTTTCTAATATATATCATAATTTAAAACTATATAAAGTCACTTATATAAAAGCAATTTTTTCAAGTGTTATAGCTTAGAGCATGGCTTTATATTTAGCTTAATCATTTTTTACCAGTTTAACTTATAAAGCTCGTAATCTTGCCAGCAGGGCTTCAACTTCGGGAACTGATTCGTTTTTAGAAACAGAGCCAAGAAGTTCCATTTCCTTTTTTCTGTTGCTTTCTGCATTACAGGCTTCCTTCTTCTCAACTGCCTTGATCCTCCCTGCAGACGTACGAGTGTCTAGATTATAATTAAGCTCCTTGGCGACTGGAGTCCTTGTTGAGTTGCAATTGATATTGTAGTGTGAACGTGACCCTTCTGTCAACTGCGCTTTCTGATTTTCTACAGTAAGGAAGAAAGAAACATAAAACTTATCACCACGATAACCAAGGACTGTGCACATTATGAAACATAAATTTAAAATAATTATCTTCAATAAACAAGTCCTCTTAGACTAAACAAAGAAACATTGAACAGAATAAGTAGGTTTAAAATAAACACACATACGTTAAAAATAAACTAAAATATAATAGACAATCATTTCATTAGCACTAATGCCTATTGCCTTCTTCCCTTATGCCTGAAATGCCTGCCATTGGTAATTGTCATGGCTTCGTTTCACATTTCATTCAGGTCTCAAACACCACCTCAGTGGAGAGGCCTTCCCTAACCATTCACCTAAAATCGCCCTCACCTTGTGCATTGCTCTATCCCCTCGTGTTTTCTTTCGCAGGACCCATGATGGCTTAACACATCATATATTTGTTTACTTGTCCACCGTCTGTCTTTTACTAGAATGTATGCTTCAAGACATCAGGGATATTTTTATTTTATTTTTCTATTTTTAAAATTTTTATAGATTTAGGGGGTACAAGTACAGTTTTGTTACATGGATATACTGCATAGATGCGAAGTCTCAGCTTTTAGTGTAACCATCACCTGAATAGTGTTCGTTGTGTCCATTAAGTAGTTTTTCACTCCTCCTCCCCCTCTCACCCTTCCAAGTCTCCAATGTCTATTACTCTACTGTGTAAGGGACATTATTTTAAATACAGCTGTAGCTTCAGTGCCTAGAATGGCCCTAGTGCAAAGTAGGTGCTCAATAAGTAAATGTTGGATAAAGAAATTATTTTCATACTCTATGATCCAAGATAAGCATTAGTTTGAATGAAATGAGATTAATTTCCTTTAACAAAAGCAAGGAGAAAAATTTCTAATAAGAATTTTAAAGTCAATGATTTCCCTTAAAAGAAATAATGTATTTGGTATATAAATTATTAAAACTTCCTAGCAAATCAGAATTATGTCATAACATAATTGTCAAGTATATACATCCCTGTATATACATACATGTACACATATACACAAGAATATTCTTTTATTAGATAGAAATCCTGATTTATCAAGGCTAAAAGGAGAGAGCTGCAATAGCTAATGATTAAATGGCACTGGCTGATTGACTTTCCCAAAGAGACTGAGATTTTCTTTTAATTAACTGACTCTCACACTGCACAGCCTTATGAGTGATCTTTCTCATAGATCTCCAACTTTTAAAAAATAGACACCCTCAATATTCATGTAACCTTGAAAGGGGCTTGAAAATGGCTTCAACAAACTTGACATGACATTTAAAGTTTTTGGTTATTCGCTGAGAGATGTTCCATTATCCCAACAGTAATGACTTTGGAGCACAAGCAGTCACTCATGACATTGTGTTTTATGTGAGTGCTGAAAATTCCAACTGAAAACAGCTTGTACATTAAAAGGTGGCTGCTGAAGATATTTACTGCACTGTCATTTCCTGACCAGGGGCTTCCAGTGATGGATGAGGATTTTACACTCTTTCTTGGACAATCTGAACAAATTTTAGAAGTATGATCACCTTTTAGCTGTTGGAAGAAAATAAATATACTTTTCCTATCACTTTCTCTATCAGGTGGGCAATTGTTACTCAAAAATCAAAATCTAATAGGGCAGTGATTTTCTCTTAAAGGCATTTATGCTCTGTAGCTTATAATGTACATATCATGTTTGCGGGAAAGAGCACAGTGGACGTGGTATTCCTGTAGTTTCCATGACCATGTAAATTTTTTTTTTTCTGGCATCCACCCTCCTCTCCCAAAGGGTGCTTGAAACCTGAATTTGTAGCTAAATGCAGATTTTTAGCCAGATTACTGCTCTTTCCCCCAAATATTCCTATCTGTTCTTATCATTTGATTTCTTATAAAGTACTCCATCATGATGATATTTCCAAACAAACCAGTTTATTCTGCTAATGGGAAATTCTAGTTAAATGTTTGATGGCAGATAAGAGGTTTAACTGTCCAAAATATGGATCTTAAATATGAATATATATATACATAAATCCTACAGCTTCTATGACTATACTGTTTCAAGCCCAATTCCATACGTCACAAAGTGAAAACAGATCCTTAACTTCTTTCATAGTCTCAGGTTCTAATTAATAATCAATCTCAAAGAATAGCTGTGAGGATTAAAGGAAAGAATGTAGGTGACACCTACTTAGATATACTTTCCTTTCCTTCCTTTTTCGAAGCTTTCTAAGGGAAGCAATCCCCACCAAAGGCTTAGGGCTTATTCAGAGGCTCTGACCTCTGACTTACTGGTGACCATACCAGCAAGGGCTGAAATATCATCTTATGAATAGCTTGTATTAGATAGCACCTTTGTTTATAAGCATTTGTTGCACTTTAAACATTACCACCCTTAGCTTACAGATCGAGGGGTAAAAGGAAAAGGAGGTTAAGTCATTTTCCTAGACTTAGTGACTGAGTAAATCAGTGGCTAAAGCCAAATGCTTTCTCTAGAGATACTTGAGGCTGTCTTAAAGAAATTTGAAAAGCTTTTTGCCAAAGAAATGTGCTAAGTAATTCAAAGCTAAGTTTCATAATAATGGTGTCCTGTACTTATGCTTTAAAATGCTTCTTGACACATTGAATTCTTGCAACAACTTTGTAAAGCAGATAGTATATCTATGTAAACTACCTTGCCACAATATGTCCAAGGTTACTCATATCCTCCTTTTCTTTCCTGGTCTCACTTAAATTCGTGACTATGAACTTCAAAAGCACGGCCTTAATCCCACTACAGTCCCCTAGTCCTGTGGTCCCCAACTCCTGGGCCGTGGCCTAGTACTGGTCTGTGGTGGCCCGTTAGGAACCAGGCCGCGCATCACCACCTAAGCTCCACCTCCACCCCCGCCCCCACACACACTCTGTCGGTGGAAAAATTGTCTTTCATGAAACCCGTCCCTGGTGCCCTAGTCCATTCACTCTTCCATTCTCCTAGACAACTATTTATTTCACACCTCCTCCTCTCTTTTCAAAACTCCTACATGTCCTCTCTCACTCTCATTTAACTCATTCATAGAAGCAATCATAAGAGGACTCCCACAAGCACCTGAGCTCCCCGAACATCTATTATCCACCTACTGCACACACATACATTCCTACACCCTATTAGGATCAATCAACCTTTTGTGCTCCCCTGAGGACAGCTCCTCAAGGCGAGCACCAGATACTACTCTCTCTTGTCTATTCAAGGACATCCTCTGGCTGCTGTGCCCTTTCTCTACTGCATTATAAAGGTTTCCTTCTCCATTTGATCACTCTCTTCAGCATACAAGTATGCTGTAATAACCCTAATCTTTAGAGAAAAAAAATCTATCTCCACATCCTGCTCCAGCTACTAACGCAATTCTTGGCTGCCTTTATAGACAAATATCTTGAAAGAACTGCCCATACTTACTGTCTCCATTCTTCTTTCCCCATTTTTCTCTTGAACCCACTCCAATCATGCTTTTGACCCTTTACTCTTCTGACACTGTTTTTGTCAAGGTCACTAATGAACTGCGTGTTGCCAAAAACAAGGATTGTATATCCATTTGGACATCTTAGTCCTCCTTTACTGGATCTATATCAAATCCAAGGATGAAATGCCCAGCATAGCCTGCATTTTTCTTCTAGTGTTTGGTTTTTGAACTTCTTTGGAGGCTTAGGTAAATAATAATGGATGGGCCAATGCAACCAAAAGCATTTCTACCCTTTTGAGAAAACTCAAAATAGCTGTGGGCTTGCTTTAGGGACAACGTGATAAGAGAAAAACTAAGATGGTATTTATCTCCTCTGTGGTTTCAGGTGAAGAATATTTCCTGAGAAGCAACAGACAAGACAGTATAAAAAGGAAAGAGGCCATTCCTGAGACCACAGAAGAAATAAAAAAGAAAGTGCACAAGGGCTTTTTAAAGGATGTTTATAGTTCTGTTAGAAATTCCTAGATAACAACTCTTCACTCCCAGTCCTCACATTAATCTCTCAGCACCCTAGAAGCCCCCATCCTGGTCCTCAGCCATGGGAGACCAAAACTGTGGGATAGAGGGAGTCTCATCTTAAATTGCAAAGCAGATAAATGAAGTTGGGTTGGAGGAATTGCCTATCCCACTGCAACTAGAGAAAATGATTACAGGTAGAGGAAGCTCCCAAGTTGGAAGTTCACTTTTATGTAGAAATCTCATTATAATGTTGGTTCAAGGCCAGGTGTCTTTTGTCATTATTATATTTTGAAAGTTTGTTACTGGTGCCTTCATGTGGGCTGAACAGGAGACCTAAATTCCATGCAAAAACATGCACTTAGTTTCTAAATGATTGACTTTCAAACAACAGGGGGATGTCACAACACTGTAAGTTGGATAGAACTCTCTATAGGTGCTCAGCGATACAAATAAATAGTGATTTGAGGCAGGTGGGCTCATTCTTTTCCTATAAAATTCAGCAGCTACAAATACAAGATGACACACTAGGACACATGGACTCAATGAAAGGTAAGACTGAGCCAACAATAAAAAGAGAAGCATTTGTATTTCTTTTCAACTCAAATCCTTACCGCACATACTTTAAATGGAAACTAAAAACATTAAGGCAAAGTAGGATGATTGCTTAATTTTCCAGAGAGAGGAAGTTTATGCTATGATTTTATGAATCGAATCCTAGGCTTTTTTTTCTTTAAGATATTACAACTCATGTCTATGTATGATATATCTAGGAATACTGCCAAGATCAAGGGCCATGGTGATTGTACTACAGAGAAGGCAAAGCAGCAGCTGCTATTCTTAGTACCAAATGACTAAGGGAATCTAATCCACACATCTTGTATTTGGGTTTTTGTGGAAATAAACAGGATGAGAATACATGCTATTTTCCTTTAAGACAGGAAGACTCACTTATTTCAGTTTAATTCCTCATAGGATTCTTACGCTAAGAATTGAATCTGGAGCCCCGCCACAGCTTCTTTTCTGAAGGTGAGTGAAGAGTTGACAAGTGTTG